TGTGTATAGTGTGTGTGTATAGTGTGTATAGTGTGTGTGTATAGTGTGTGTGTATAGTGTGTATGTGTGTGTGTATAGTGTGTGTGTGTGTGTATAGTGTGTATAGTGTGTGTGTGTATAGTGTGTGTGTATAGTGTGTATGTGTGTGTGTGTGTGTGTGTGTGTGTATAGTGTGGTGTAGTGTGTGTGTGTATAGTGTGTGTGTGTGTATAGTGTGTGTATAGTGTGTGTGTGTGTGTGTGTGTGTATAGTGTGTATAGTGTGTGTGTGTGTGTGTATAGTGTGTGTGTATAGTGTGTAATAGTGTGTGTGTGTGTGTATAGTGTGTGTGTATAGTGTATATGTGTGTGTGTGTGTATGTGTAGTGTGTATAGTGTGTATAGTTGTGTGGTGTGTGTATAGTGTGTTGTGTGTGTGTGTGTGTGTATAGTGTGTATAGTGTGTATAGTGTGTATATGTGTGTGTGTATAGTGTGTATAGTGTGTGTTAGTGTGTATAGTGTGTATAGTGTGTATAGTGTGTGTGTATAGTGTGTGTAGTGTGTATAGTGTGTATAGTGTGTATAGTGTGTATAGTGTGTATAGTGTGTATAGTGTGTATAGTGTGTATAGTGTGTATAGTGTGTATAGTGTGTATAGTGTGTATAGTGTGTATAGTGTGTGTGTGTAGTGTGTATAGTGTGTAGTGTGTATAGTGTGTATAGTGTGTATAGTGTGTATAGTGGTGTATAGTGTGTATAGTGTGTATAGTGTGTATAGTGTGTATAGTGTGTATAGTGTGTGTGTATAGTGTGTATGTGTGTATGTTTGTATAGTGTGTGTGTGTGTATAGTGTGTGTAGTGTGTGTAGTGTGTATAGTGTGTGTGTATAGTGTGTATAGTGTGTATGTATGTGTGTATATGTGTGTATAGTGTGTATAGTGTGTGTGTGTATAGTGTGTGTAGTGTGTATAGTGTGTATAGTGTGTGTAGTGGTGTATAGTGTGTATAGTGTGTATAGTGTGTATAGTGTGTATAGTGTGTGTGTGTATAGTGTGTATAGTGTGTAGTGTGTAGTAGTGTGTATAGTGTGTATAGTGTGTATAGTGTGTATAGTGTGTGTAGTGTGTATAGTGTGTATAGTGTGTATAGTGTGTATAGTGTGTATAGTGTGTGTGTGTATAGTGTGTGTGTGTATAGTGTGTATATAGTGTGTATAGTGTGTATAGTGTGTATAGTGTGTATAGTGTGTATAGTGGTGTGTGTGTATAGTGTGTGTAGTGTGTATAGTGTGTATAGTGTGTAGTGTGTGTGTATAGTGTGTGTGTATAGTGTGTGTAGTGTGTGTGAGTGTGTGTGACCTCTGTGCCGGGGGTCCGTCCATGATGATGTTGATCCAGAGGATCTGCATGGCGTTCAGAGGGTTTGGAAAGTTCATCAGAGTCGCCAACGAAATCAGACTGAGAGCAGCGATCGACCTACACACAAAAACAACAACAACACACAAGTGTGTAACGCACAAACACAACAACAACACACAAGTGTGTAACGCACAAACACAACAACAACACACAAGTGTGTAACGCACAAACACAACAACAACACACAAGTGTGTAACGCACAAACACAACAACACACACGTGAGTAACGCACAAACACAACAACACACAAGTGTGTAACGCACAAACACAACAACACACAACGTGTGTAACGCACAAACACAACAACAACACACAAGTGTGTAACGCACAAACACAACAACAACGCACAAATATAACACAAATAAATAACATTCAAAAACAACAACGCACAAATAAATAAACACAAATACAACACACAAATGTAACACAAACACAGTGTGAGTTTTCTGTCTGTGCTGCATCATTTCATTTTCAACATGTGTTGGACAAAACGAGTCGTTTGGGCCTCGTTGGGGTGTGTGTGTGTTGTGTATAGTGTGTGTAATGTGTGTGTGTGTATAGTGTGTGTAATGTGTGTGTGTATTGTGTGTGTAATGTGTGTGTGTGTGTATAGTGTGTGTGTGTTGTGTGTCTTACGTGCTGAGTTGGAATCGGACAAAGTTCTTGATGTTGTTGTAGATTCCTTTGCCCTCCTCAATTGCCGACCTGAAACACACAACATCTCAGAACTGAACCAAGTCTAAACCAGGACTAAACCAGGACTAAACCAGGACTAAACCAGGACTAAACCTGGACTAAACCTGGACTGAACCAGGACTAAACCAGGACTGAACCAGGACTGAACCTGGACTGAACCTGGACTAAACCAGGACTGAACCTGGACTGAAACTGGACTAAACTATGACTGAACCTGGGCTAGATCTAAACCTGGCCCCGGTGTGGCCCCGGTCTGGACTCACATGATGGTCTGGAAGTCGTCGTCCACCAGGATCATGTCGGCGGCCTCTTTGCACACGTCCGTGCCGCTCTTGCCCATGGCCACGCCGATGTCGGCCGCCTTCAACGCCACCGCGTCGTTCACACCGTCGCCCGTCATCGCCACCACCGCCCCGATGTTCTGTAACGACTGACCACAGGGTCAGAGACACAGGGTCAGAGACACAGGGTCAGAGACACAGGGTCAGAAACAGGGTCAGAGACACAGGGTCAGAAACACAGGGTCAGAGACACAGGGTCAGAAACACAGGGTCAGAGACAAATAAAGGTGTGTGTGTGTGTAAAATAAAGGTGCGTGTGTGTGTGAAAATAAAGGTGTGTGTGGTGTAAAAATAAAGGTGTGTGTGTGTGTAAAATAAAGGTGCGTGTGTGTGTAAAATAAAGGTGTGTGTGTGTGTAAAATAAAGGTGCGTGTGTGTGTAAAATAAAGGTGTGTGTGTGTAAAATAAAGTGTGTGTGTGTAAAATGTGTGTAAAATAAGGTGCGTGTGTGTGTGTGTAAATAAAAAGTGTGTGTGTGTGTGTAAAATAAAGGTGTGTGTGTGTAAAATAAAGTGTGTGTGTGTGTGTAAAATAAAGGTGTGTGTGTGTGTGTAAAATAAAGGTGTGTGTGTGTAAAATAAAGGTGTGTGTGTGTGTAAAATAAAGGTGTGTGTGTGTGTAAAAATAAAGGTGTGTGTGGTGTGTGTGTGTAAAATAAAGGTGTGTGTGTGTGTAAAATAAAGGTGTGTGTGTGTGTGTAAAATAAAGTGTGTGTGTGTGTGTAAAATAAAGGTGTGTGTGTGTGTAAAATAAAAAAAGGTGCGTGTGTGTGTGTAAAATAAAGGTGTGTGTGTGTAAAATAAAGGTGTGTGTGTGTGTGTAAAATAAAGGTGTGTGTGTGTGTGTAAAATAAAGGTGCGTGTGTGTGTAAAATAAAGGTGTGTGTGTGTAAAATAAAGGTGCGTGTGTGTGTAAAATAAAGGTGTGTGTGTGTAAAATAAAGGTGTGTGTGTGTGTAAAATAAAGGTGTGTGTGTGTGTGTAAAATAAAGGTGTGTGTGTGTAAAATAAAGGTGTGTGTGTGTGTGTAAAATAAAGGTGTGTGTGTGTGTGTAAAATAAAGGTGTGTGTGTGTGTGTAAAATAAAGGTGTGTGTGTGCAGAGTCTGAGTGGAGAGTTTGTTAAAGTCCTGTTCTTGTTGTAGTTCGTGACACGTGGATGTTGTTACCTTGACGATCTTGAGTTTGTGTCTGGGGCTCGCTCTGTAGAACACGGCGATCTGCAAAAACACACACACACAGAGACACACACACGTTTTAGAAGTGTGTGTGGAGCTCACAGATCCTGAAGATAAACGTTGGAGAAAACGAGACTGACCCGAGGAACCATCTGAGACAACTGCTGCAGGTCCAGAGCGTCCACCTCATCTCCAGACAAACACTGAGCTCCTTTAGAACACAGACCCAGACGACCCGCTGCAACGGAGGGAGAGAAGAAAGAGAGAAGAAAGAGAGGAGAGAGGAGGAGGAGGAGGAGGAGGAGGAGGAGGAGAAGAAGAAGGAGGAGGAGGAGGAGGAGGAGAAGAAGAAGGAGGAGAAGAAGAAGGAGGAGAAGAAGAGGAGGAAGAAGAAGAAGGAGAAGAAGAAGGAGAGAGGAGAAGAGAAGAAGAAGAGAGAGAGAAGAAGAAGAAGAAGAGAGGAGAAGAGAAGGAGAAGAAGAAGAAGAAGAAGAAGAAGAAGAAGAAGAAGAAGAGAAGAAGAGAGGGTTAAATGTGTGATGAAGCTCAGGTCCAAGTGTGACATGTGTCAGGTGTGTGTCAAGTGTGTGTCAGGTGAGTGTGTCAGGTGTCAGTGTGTCAGGTGTGTGTCAGTGTGAGTGTGTCAGGTGAGTGTGTCAGGTGAGTGTGTCAGGTGAGTGTGTCAGGTGAGTGTGTCAGGTGAGTGTCAGGTGAGCGTGTCAGGTGAGTGTGTGAGTGTGTCAGGTGAGTGTGTCAGGTGAGTGTGTCAGGTGAGTGTGTCAGTGAGCGTGTCAGTGTGGTGTCAGGTGAGTGTGTCAGGTGAGTGTGTCAGGTGAGTGTCAGGTGAGTGTCAGGTGAGTGTGTCAGGTGAGTGTGTCAAGGTGAGGTGTCAGGTGACGTGTCAGGTGAGTGTGTCAGTGAGGTGACGTGAGTGTCAGGTGAGTGTGTCAGGGGAGTGTGTCAGGAGCGTGACAGGTGTGTCATGTGTCAGGTGAGCGTGTCAGGTGAGTGTGTCAGGAGCGTGACAGGTGAGTGTGTCAGGTGAGTGTGTCAGGAGTCAGGTGAGCGTGTCAGGTGAGTGTGTCAGAGTGTGTCAGGAGCGTGAGGTGAGCGTGTCAGGGTGACAGTGTGTCAGGAGCGTGACAGGTGAGTGTGTCAGGAACGTGTCAGGTGAGGGTGTCAGGAGCGTGACAGGTGAGTGTGTCAGGTGAGTGTGTCAGGTGAGTGTGTCAGGAGCGTGACAGGTGAGTGTGTCAGGTGAGCGTGTCAGGTGAGGGTGTCAGGTGAGGTCGTGTGTCAGGTGAGTGTGTCAGGAGCGTGTCAGGTGAGTGTGTCAGGAGCGTGTCAGGTGAGTGTGTCAGGAGCGTGTCAGGTGAGTGTGTCAGGAGCGTGTCAGGTGAGTGTGTCAGGAGCGTGTCAGGTGAGTGTGTCAGGAGCGTGTCAGGTGAGTGTGTCAGGTGAGTGTGTCAGGTGAGTGTGTCAGGAGCGTGACAGGTGAGCGTGTCAGGTGAGCGTGTCGTGTCAGGAGCGTGTCAGTGAGTGTGTCAGAGCGTGTCAGGTGAGTGTGTCAGGTGAGTGTGTCAGGAGCGTGTCAGGTGAGTGTGTCAGGAGCGTGTCAGGTGAGTGTGTCAGGTGAGTGTGTCAGGAGCGTGTCAGGTGAGTGGTGAGGAGCGTGTCAGGTGAGTGTGTCAGGAGCGTCAGGTGAGCGTGTCAGGTGAGTGTGTCAGGAGCGTGTCAGGTGAGTGTGTCAGGTGTCAGGTGAGTGTGTCAGGAGCGTGTCAGGTGAGTGGTGTGTCAGGTGAGGTGTGTCAGGTGAGTGTGTCAGGAGCGTGACAGGTGAGTGTGTCAGGTGAGCGTGTCAGGTGAGCGTGTCAGGTGAGGTGTCAGGTGAGTGTGTCAGGAGCGTGTCAGGTGAGTGTGTCAGGAGCGTGAGTCAGGTGAGTGTGTCAGTGGCGTGTCAGGTGAGGGTGTCAGCGTGTCAGGTGAGTGTGTCAGGTGAGTGTGTCAGGTGAGTGTGTCAGGAGCGTGACAGGTGAGCGTGTCAGGTGAGCGTGTCAGGTGAGCGTGTCAGCGTGAGTGAGGTGTCGTGAGGTGAGGTGTCAGGTGTGTGTCAGGTGAGTGGTGAGGTGTCAGGTGAGTGTGTCAGGTGAGGTGAGTGTGTCAGGTGAGTGTGTCAGGTGAGGGTGTCAGGTGAGTGTGTCAGGAGCGTGTCAGGTGAGGTGAGTGTGTCAGGAGCGTGTCAGGTGAGCGTGTCAGGAGGTGTCAGGTGAGTGTCAGGAGCGTGTTCAGTGAGTGTGTCAGGAGTGACAGGTGAGTGTGTCAGGAGCGTGACAGGTGAGTGTGTCAGGAGCGTGACAGGTGAGGTGTGTCAGGAGCGTGTCAGGTGAGTGTGTGTCAGGAGTGTGTCAGGAGCGTGACAGGTGAGTGTGTCAGGAGCGTGTCAGGTGAGGGTGTCAGGAGTGTGTCAGGAGCGTGTCAGGTGAGGTGAGTGTGTCAGGAGCGTGTCAGGTGAGTGTGTCAGGAGCGTGTCAGGTGAGTGTGTGTGTCAGTGAGTGAGGTGTCAGGTGAGTGTGTCAGGTGAGTGTGTCAGGAGCGTGACAGGTGAGTGTGTCAGGTGAGCGTGTCAGGTGAGCGTGTCAGGTGAGGGTGTCAGGAGCGTGTCAGGTGAGTGTGTCAGGAGCGTGTCAGGTGAGTGTGTCAGGAGCGTGTCAGGTGAGTGAGTGTGTCAGGAGCGTGTCAGGTGAGTGTGTGTCAGGTGAGTGTGTCAGGAGCGTGACAGGTGAGTGTGTCAGGTGAGGGTGTCAGGTGAGCGTGTCAGGTGAGCGTGTCAGGTGAGGGTGTCAGGTGAGGGTGTCAGGAGCGTGACAGGTGAGGGTGTCAGGTGAGCGTGTCAGGTGAGTGTGTCAGGTGAGCGTGTCAGGTGAGCGTGTCAGGTGAGGGTGTCAGGAGCGTGTCAGGTGAGTGTGTCAGGTGAGTGTGTCAGGAGCGTGTCAGGTGAGTGTGTCAGGAGCGTGTCAGGTGAGTGTGTCAGGAGCGTGTCAGGTGAGTGTGTCAGGTGAGGTGTCAGTCAGGTGAGTGTGTCAGGTGAGTGTGTCAGGTGAGTGTGTCAGGAGCGTGACAGGTGAGTGTGTCAGGTGAGCGTGTCAGGTGAGCGTGTCAGGTGAGTCGTGTCAGCGTGTCAGTGAGCGTGTCAGGTGAGTGTGTCAGGTGAGGTGTCAGGAGCGTGTCAGGTGAGTGTGTCAGGAGCGTGTCAGGTGAGTGTGTGTCAGGAGCGTGACAGGTGAGTGTGTCAGTGAGAGTGTCAGGTGAGTGTGTCAGGAGCGTGTCAGGTGAGTGAGGTGTCAGTGAGTGTGTCAGGAGCGTGTCAGGTGTCAGAGGTGAGTGTGTCAGGAGCGTGTCAGGTGAGTGTGTCAGGAGCGTGTCAGGTGTCAGGAGCGTCAGGTGAGTGTGTCAGGAGCGTGACAGGTGAGTGTGTCAGGAGCGTGTCAGGTGAGGGTGTCAGGTGAGTGTGTCAGGTGAGTGTGTCAGGAGCGTGACAGGTGAGTGTGTCAGGTGAGCGTGTCAGGTGAGTGTGTCAGGAGCGTGTCAGGTGAGTGTGTCAGGAGCGTGTCAGGTGAGTGTGTCAGGAGCGTGTCAGGTGAGTGTGTCAGGAGCGTGTCAGGTGAGTGTGTCAGGAGCGTGTCAGGTGAGTGTGTCAGGAGCGTGTCAGGTGAGTGTGTCAGGAGCGTGTCAGGTGAGTGTGTCAGGAGCGTGTCAGGTGAGTGTGTCAGGAGCGTGACAGGTGAGTGTGTCAGGAGCGTGACAGGTGAGTGTGTCAGGAGCGTGTCAGGTGAGTGTAACAGGAGTGTGTCAGGAGCGTGACAGGTGAGTGTGTCAGGAGCGTGTCAGGTGAGTGTAACAGGAGTGTGTCAGGAGCGTGTCAGGTGAGTGTGTCAGGAGCGTGTCAGGTGAGGTGTGTCAGGAGCGTGACAGGTGAGGGTGTCAGGTGAGTGTCAGGTGAGTGTAACAGGAGTGTGTCAGGAGCGTGTCAGGTGAGTGTGTCAGGAGCGTGTCAGGTGAGTGTGTCAGGAGCGTGTCAGGTGAGTGTGTCAGGAGCGTGTCAGGTGAGGGTGTCAGGAGCGTGACAGGTGAGTGTGTCAGGAGCGTGTCAGGTGAGTGTCAGGTGAGTGTAACAGGAGTGTGTCAGGAGCGTGACAGGTGCGGTCCTGACCTATAGCCACGGCGGTCTCCTGGGAGTCTCCTGTGATCATCTTGACGGCGACTCCAGAGCCGATCAGTGTGGACACGGCGTCTTTGACTCCAGAACGAGGAGGATCCAACATCCCCACGAGGCCCACGAACGACAGACACGACAACTCCGAGCCCACGGCGAACGCCAGCACTGAAACAACCGGGTCAGGACCACAGACACCGGGTCAGAACCACAGACACCGGGTCAGAACCACACACACCGGGTCAGAACCACACACACAGAGTCAGAACCACACACACAGAGTCAGAACCAAGGCCAGGACTAAACCAGAACTAATCCAGGTCTAAACCAGAACTAAACCAGGACTAAACCAGAACTAATCCAGGTCTAAACCAGAACTAAACCAGGACTAAACCAGAACTAAACCAGGACTAAACCAGGACTAAACCAGGTCTAAACCAGGTCTAAACCAGGAATAAACCAGGACTAAACCAGGTCTAAACCAGGTCTAAACCAGGACTAAACCAGGTCTAAACCAGGTCTAAACCAGGACTAATCCAGGTCTAAACCAGAACTAAACCAGGACTAAACCAGGACTAAACCAGGTCTAAACCAGGTCTAAACCAGGTCTAACCCAGGTCTAAACCAGGACTAAACCAGGACTAAACCAGGACTACACCAGGTCTAACCCAGGACTAACCTCGGAGTCCGGCTGAGCCCATGTAGCTGATCTGCTGCTGGTAGAGCTCCCTCTGCTGGTGGTTCAGGGGCAGTGTGGTTCCGTGGCTGTGGTACGAGCTGCAGAACCGGATCACCTGCTCGAAGGCTCCTTTGACGAAGAACACGCCCGGCTTGTCCTGGACCAGAACCAGAGGAGAACAGGGTCAGAACTGTGTGCTCGAGCGCGACGTCCACAGGAGGAGCCACGTTTACGACCACGACACCGACCGACGCCGACCGACCGACACCGACCGACGCCGACTGACCGACACCAACCAACCCCGACACTGACCGACACCGACCGACCCCGACACCGACCGACGACCGACCGACCCGACCGACCCCGACCGACACCGACCCCGACCGACCAATTTGAGGGAGCGGTAGAACATTTGAGGGAGCGTTGGAACATTTGAGGGAGCGGTAGAACATTTGAGGGAGCGGTAGAACATTTGAGGGAGCGTTGGAACATTTGAGGGAGTGTTGGAACATGGGACAAAGCTCTCCCTCTCAGTAGAACAGCAGAAGAAGCTCAGACCTGTTGTGTTCTGTGGACGCAGCGCACGGCCATCCACTTCTGTTCTGAGGAGAACGGAACCTCCTCCACACGAACGTACTCCTGCTGCAGAGACTCCAGCCCCATCTGAGAACGAGAACATACAAGAACATCTGAGAATGAGAACATACAAGAACATCTGAGAACGAGAACATACAAGAACATCTGAGAATGAGAACATACAAGAACATCTGAGAACGAGAACATACAAGAACATCTGAGAATGAGAACATACAAGAACATCTGAGAATGAGAACATACAAGAACATCTGAGAATGAAAACATACAAGAACATGTGAGAATGAAAACATACAAGAACATATGAGAACATAGTAGAACATGCAGGAACCCCCCAGTCTCTTAAATTCTGAACACACATGGACCGGTGAGATTTTCTTTTATACTGACTCAGTGTTTTTCCTCTAAATCTTTTCCCTCTAAATCTGTGTTCAGACCCACACGGCCACAGACTCGATGTGGACGCACGTCCAGGGCGTCCAGGGCGTCCAGCGTTTTTGCGGTGCATCTTCAGGCGTCTTCTGAGTCAACAGCGAAGAGTAAATAAACACACCGCCGATGGATTCATGACATAAATAAACTAAAGTCACTAAAACCACGACCGTCGCCGACCACAGCAACACCCACGGATCAACTCACATACAAAGGCTCCAACTACAGAACTAGAAACATTTATGAAGCTGCTTAAGTCCTCCTCTAAGCCCCGCCCCCTCTAAGCCCCGCCCTCTCACCTTCATGGCGAGGGCGATGAGAGCGCCCTCTGTCGGTCGCCCGAGGAGCGTGTGGTTCCTGATCACAGAGTCGTTACAGACGCAGCCGACCTGCAACACACCAGGGTTAAAGCTCCGCTGCGGGACATTTCTGTGAGTGTTTAAAGCTCCACTGCGGGACATTTGAGCGGTGGTTACCTCGACGATCTTGCTGACGGAGGGACAGGAGAACCCGTGGATCACTTCCCCGTTCAGAATCACCTCACCTGCTCCATTATAACCCACACCTGACACCTGCAAGAGACCAGGACCAGAACTGAACCAGGACCAGAACTGAACCAGGACCAGAACCAGAACTGAACCAGGACCAGAACTAGAACTGAACCAGGACCAGAACCAGAACCAGAACTGAACCAGGACCAGAACCAGAACTGAACCAGGACCAGAACCAGAACTAGAACCAGAACTGAACCAGGACCAGAACCAGGACTGAACCAGGTCTAAACCAGGACTGAACCAGGACCAGGACTGACCTCAGCGTGGAGTCCATCTGAGGTGAAGATCTGTGTCACCGTCATTTCGTTTTTGGTCAAAGTCCCAGTTTTATCAGAACAGATCACGTTACAACAACCTGAAAAACACACACGTGTGTCAGGGCCCTCCCCGCGTGTGTGTCAGGTGCCCTCCCCGCGTGTGTGTCAGGTGCCCTCCCCGCGTGTGTGTGTCAGGTCCCTCTGTGTGTGTGTGTGTGTGTGTGTCAGGTCCCTCTGTGTGTGTGTGTGTGTCAGGTCCCTCTGTCTGTGTGTGTGTCAGGTCCCTCTGTCTGTGTGTGTGTCAGGTCCCTCTGTCTGTGTGTGTGTCAGGTCCCTCTGTCTGTGTGTGTCAGGTCCCTCTGTGTGTGTGACAGGTCCCTCTGTGTGTGTGTGTGACAGGTCCTCTCTCTGTGTGTGACAGGTCCCCTCTGTGTGTGTGACAGGTCCCTCTGTGTGTGTGACAGGTCCCTCTGTGTGTGTGTGTGACAGGTCCTCTCTCTGTGTGTGTCAGGTCCCTCTGTGTGTGTGTCAGGTCCCTCTGTGTGTGTGTCAGGTCCCTCTGTGTGTGTGTCAAGTCCCTCTGTGTGTGTGTCAAGTCCCTCTGTGTGTGTGTCAGGTCCCTCTGTGTGTGTGTCAGGTCCCTCTGTGTGTGACAGGTCCCTCTGTGTGTGACAGGTCCCTCTGTGTGTGACAGGTCCCTCTGTGTGTGACTGGTCCCTCTCTGTGTGTGTCAGGTCCTCTCTCAATGTGTGTGTCAGGTCCTCTCTCTGTGTGTGTGACAGGTCCTCTCTCTGTGTGTGGCAGGTCCTCTCTGTGTGTGTGACAGGTCCTCTCTGTGTGTGTGACAGGTCCTCTCTGTGTGTCTCTCTGTGTGTGACAGGTCCTCTGTGTGTGTGACAGGTCCTCTCTCTGTGTGTGACAGGTCCTCTCTGTGTGTGTGACAGGTCCTCTCTGTGTGTGTGACAGGTCCTCTCTGTGTGTGTGACAGGTCCTCTCTGTGTGTGTCTCTCTGTGTGTGACAGGTCCTCTGTGTGTGTGACAGGTCCCTCTGTGTGTGTGTGTGTGTCAGGTCCCTCTGTGTGTGTGTGTGTCAGGTCCCTCTGTGTGTGTGTGTGTCAGGTCCCTCTGTGTGTGTGTGTGACAGGTCCTCTGTGTGTGTGTCAGGTCCTCTGTGTGTGTGTCAGGTCCTCTGTGTGTGTGTCAGGCCGTCTGTGTGTGTGACAGGCCGTCTGTGTGTGTGACAGGTCCTCTGTGTGTGTGACAGGTCCTCTGTGTGTGTGACAGGTCCTCTGTGTGTGTGACAGGTCGTCTGTGTGTGTGTCAGGTCGTCTGTGTGTGTGTCAGGTCGTCTGTGTGTGTGACAGGTCCTCTGTGTGTGTGTCAGGTTCCTCTGTGTGTGTGTGTGTCAGGTCCCTCTGTGTGTGTGTGTGTCAGGTCCCTCTGTGTGTGTGTGTGTCAGGTCCTCTGTGTGTGTGTGTGTGTCAGGTCCTCTGTGTGTGTGTCAGGTCCTCTGTGTCTGTGTGTGTGTCAGGTCCTCTGTGTGTGTGTCAGGTCCTCTGTGTGTGTGCCAGGCCGTCTGTGTGTGTGTCAGGTCCTCTGTGTGTGTGTCAGGTCCTCTGTGTGTTGTCAGGTCTGTGTGTGTGACAGGTCCTCTTTGTGTGTGTCAGGTCCTCTTTGTGTGTGTCAGGTCCCTCTGTGTGTGTGTGTGTGTCAGGTCCCTCTGTGTGTGTGTGTGACAGGTCCTCTGTGTGTGTGACAGGTCCTCTGTGTGTGTGTGTCAGGTCCTCTGTGTGTGTGTCAGGTCCTCTGTGTGTGTGTCAGGTCCTCTGTGTGTGTGTCAGGTCCTCTGTGTGTGTGCCAGGCCGTCTGTGTGTGTGTCAGGTCCTCTGTGTGTGTGTCAGGTCCTCTGTGTGTGTGACAGGTCCTCTGTGTGTGACAGGTCCTCTGTGTGTGTGCCAGGTCCTCTGTGTGTGTGACAGGTCCTCTGTGTGTGTGACAGGTCCTCTGTGTGTGTGTCAGGTCCTCTGTGTGTGTGACAGGTCCTCTGTGTGTGTGACAGGTCCTCTGTGTGTGTGACAGGTCCTCTGTGTGTGTGTCAGGTCCTCTGTGTGTGTGTCAGGTCCTCTGTGTGTGTGTCAGGTCCTCTGTGTGTGTGTGTCAGGTCCTCTGTGTGTGTGTCAGGTCCTCTGTGTGTGACAAGTCCTCTGTGTGTGTGTCAGGTCCCCTGTGTGTGTGTCAGGTCCCCTGTGTGTGTGTCAGGTCCCCTGTGTGTGTGTCAGGTCCCCTGTGTGTGTGTCAGGTCCTCTGTGTGTGTGTCAGGTCCTCTGTGTGTGTGTGTGTGTCAGGTCCTCTGTGTGTGTCAGTGTGTGTGTGTGTCAGGTCCTCTGTGTGTGTGTGTCAGGTCCTCTGGTGTGTCCTCTGTGTGTGACAGGTCCCTGTGTGTGTGTGTGTGTCAGGTCCTCTGTGTGTGTGTGTGTGTCAGGTCCTCTGTGTGTGTGTGTCAGGTCCTCTGTGTGTGTGTGTGTAGTCCTCTGTGTGTGTGTGTCAGGTCCTCTGTGTGTGTGTCAGGTCCTCTGTGTGTGTGTCAGGTCCTCTGTGTGTGTGTCAGGTCCTCTGTGTGTGTCAGTCCTCTGTGTGTGTGTCAGGTCCTCTGTGTGTGTGTCAGGTCCTCTGTGTGTGTGTCAGGTCCTCTGTGTGTGTGTCAGGTCCTCTGTGTGTGTGTCAGGTCCTCTGTGTGTGTCAGGTCCTCTGTGTGTGTGTCAGGTCCTCTGTGTGTGTGTCAGGTCCTCTGTGTGTGTGACAGGTCCTCTGTGTGTGTGTGTGTCAGGTCCTCTGTGTGTGACAGTCCTCGTGTGTGTCAGGTCCTCTGTGTGTGTGTCAGGTCCTCTGTGTGTGTCAGGTGTGTGTGTGTCAGGTCCTCTGTGTGTGTGTGTCAGGTCCTCTGTGTGTGTGTCAGGTCCTCTGTGTGTGTGTGTGTGTGTGTGTCAGGTCCTCTGTGTGTGTGTCAGGTCCTCTGTGTGTGTGTCAGGTCCTCTGTGTGTGTGTCAGGTCCTCTGTGTGTGTGTCAGGTCCTCTGTGTGTGTGTCACAGGTCCTCTGTGTGTGTGTCAGGTCCTCTGTGTGTGTGTGTCAGGTCCTCTGTGTGTGTGTCGTGTGTGTCGTGTGTGTCAGGTCCTCTGTGTGTGTGTCAGGTCCTCTGTGTGTGTGTCAGGTCCTCTGTGTGTGTGTCAGGTCCTCTGTGTGTGTGTCAGGTCCTCTGTGTGTGTGTCAGGTCCTCTGTGTGTGTGACAGGTCCTCTGTGTGTGTGTCAGGTCCTCTGTGTGTGTGACAGGTCCTCTGTGTGTGTGTGTCAGGTCCTCTGTGTGTGTGTGTGTGTGTCAGGTCCTCTGTGTGTGTGTGTCAGGTCCTCTGTGTGTGTGTCAGGTCCTCTGTGTGTGTGACTGACTGAGTGTTTCGACGATGGGCAGTTTCTTGACGATGGCTCTCTTCTTCACCATCCTCATGACGCCCAGAGCCAGAGTCACCGTCACCACGATGGGTAAACCCTCCGGGATCGCCGCCACCGCCAGACTGCAACACCAACACCACGAGACACGGGTCAGGACCGGGACCGGGACCGGGAGGACCAGGACCAGGACCAGGACCAGGACTAAACCAGGACTAACCTGACTCCAATGGTGAACATGTCCAGGATCCTCTTCCCCTGGAGCCAACCCACCAACATGATCACACCTGTAATATATAAAACTAATGAAACACACACACACGACACACACACACAACACACAGACAGAGGCACAGACACACACAGACACACACAACACAAACACACAACACACAGACACACTATACACACACAGACAGAGGGCACAGACACACACAGACACACACACACACAACACACAGACACACTATACACACACAGAGGCACAGACACACACAGACACACACACACACAACACACAGACACACTATACACACACAGAGGCACAGACACACACAGACACACACAACACAAACACACAACACACAGACACACACAGACACAGACACACAGACACAGACACACAACACACACGTGTGTATTAGAGGAGAGTCACTGACCGATGATGCCAAAGGAGTAGAGGGACAACTGTTTCCCCAGGAGGTCCATGCTCTTCTGCAGAGGAGTCTTAGGGGCCTGGACACACGAGCAGAGGTCAGAGGTCATGGGTCAGGGGTCAGGGGTCTGCCCGTGTTCTTCAGGGCGTCTGGTTTTCACAGAGGTCAGATTCTTTTCTATTTTCACAACATAAACTTTGTAAAACGTTTAAATCCTCGTGGCTCCTGAAGTGATCGGAGCCGTTCTGAGTCAGACTGAGCCGCCCGGAGCCGCCCTGAGTCAGACTGAGCCGCCCGGAGTCAGACTGAGCCGCCCGGAGCCGCCCTGAGTCAGACTGAGCCGCCCGGAGCCGCCCTGAGTCAGACTGAGCCGCCCGGAGCCGCCCTGAGCCGCCCGGAGTCAGACTGAGCCGCCCGGAGCCGCCCTGAGTCAGACTGAGCCGCCGGAGCCGCCCTGAGTCAGACTGAGCCGCCCGGAGCCGCCCTGAGTCAGACTGAGCCGGAGTCAGACTGAGCCGCCCGGAGTCAGACTGAGCCGCCCTGAGTCGCCCGAGAGTGA